AAAAGGGGAAATCGTGAATCGGATTCCCATGAAAGCCACCCAAAATTAGAGACATCAAGGTTGTAGAATAATCATCAGCCATAGGGTGGCCATAAGACCAGGCCAGTGATAATCCCTTCATCCTGGGGTCAGTCTTGGACAAGAGAGACATTGAGGGGCTGGAGTGTGTCCAGGGAAGGGAACGGAGCTGGGAAAGGGCTGGAGAATTCCTGAGGGAGCTGGAAAGGGGCTGGAGAATTCCTGAGGGAGCTGGGAAGGGGCTGGAGAATTCCTGAGGGAGCTGGGAAGGGGCTCAGGCTGGAGCAAAGGAGGCTCAGGGGGAATTTCTGGCTCTGCACAAGTCCCTGGCAGGAGGGGACAGCCGGGGGGACTTGGGATCTGCTCCCAGGGAACAGGGACAGGAGGAGAGGGAACGGCCTCAGGCTGGGCCAGGGGTGACGTACTTTGGGTACTGGGGAAAATTCCTTCATGGAAAGGTTTGTCCAGGCCTGGCACAGCTGCCCAGGGCAGTGGTAGAGTCCCCAAACCTTAGAGGGTTTCAAAAGCCATGTGCATGTGGCACCTGGGGACATGGGTCAGTGGTGGCCTTGGCAGTGCTGGAGGAATGGTTGGGCCCAAGAAATGCAAAGGTCTTTTCCAGCCTGACGGATTCCACAGTTCTGTGCTGGAGTCAGCAGCGGGAGGTGATGACGCACAATGGCGTGGCTGTGATGAACGTGCTCAGCAGTGCCTGAACCCTGGGAGATGTCCTGGGGTGTCCAGGGAAGCACTCCCAACATTCCTTTCTCAGAGCTCACGGATGAAAAGCTTGGGAGAGGAAGGACAGAGTCACAGCAGTGAACAGGACACATCAGAGGCTCAGTAATGTAGCTGCTTGTGCCTTTTCCCAAAGAGCGTGGCAGGTGACTTGAAAGTGTAATTTGCTTAATTAAAACAACCCAAAGCATCAAGTGGAGGAAACTGAGATGGAATCTAGGTTTTGGGTGTGTTGAATGGCCCCAGATGATTACAGACTTCTTTTTCCTTCTTGAACATATTTATTAACAAGTGCTGGAATCAGCAGCATGTTCTTAATGGGTAAATAACTAGACTTCAATTTGTTTGAAGATCTGTTTTAATTTTTTGATGCATGTATGTATATTCCTACCCATACTGGAGTAAAATCAGAAGAGCTGGTGCTGTGGGACTTTGATAAGATGCTACCTGCAAAGCAAAAATATATTTTTGTTTTAAATACACACTGAAGTGCTCCAGGTATTTGAGACATTTATGTATCAAGAAAATCTTGTGGGTCACCCTTAAACTAATATATCAGCCTGGTAATTAGAATGGGCTAACCAGGAAATGTGAAGTCTACAAGTAATATTTACTTTCATTAATTAAGTAGTATTTGAAATGCTATGATGAAGGAATGTGGCCCATCTGGTGTTCTCACCTCATCTTCTGTTTATGGGGAAGTGACCGTGCAAAGGCAGAGTACAAGATTTGTATGTGTGTAAATATATATATACATGAACAAGATATAATTAGAGGAAAGCAGTTCCTGACAATATGGAATTTATTGTATAGAAACTTGAGCAGCTCCAGCTGATGCTAATTAACTCTCCACCCTGCAAATGTGTGCAGCAGAATTGGTGGTGAAGACAGGAGGGATATGAAATATGGCACAGGAGATTTTACTTTAGCTTGCACCTGCTAAGCACAAGGAGCCAAATCTTCAGCTGATGTCAACCAACTGAAATCTCTGCCTGCAGAGGAGTGACACTGATTTACACCAGCCAGGAATCTGACTTGGCATTATGGACACAGCAGCTGGTGCTGACTTGTTAAGAACAAAGGACCACATGCCAAAAAGCCCATTAAAAAGAGCTCCTTTGATGTCTCACTTCATCTGGGATAAATTTAAAATGGAGGAGGCTGTCAATTTTCCTTAGTCTAGACATTCTGTGTCATTGGGTCCGGGTTAGTCTGATGTGTGACCTTCATGTGCTGCATCCCCAGAAAATGAGGATTCAATCATTTCAGGTGTTGAAAACTCAAGTGAGGAACTGGCAATCCTGTTACAGGTGACTCTGGAAGATGCTGCCAGCCTTTGAGACAGACCTCACCCTGTGTGATGGGCCAGAGCAGTTGCTTCTTTTTACCTTGGAGCTTTTTAATTCCTTTGTAGAAGGAAGGGGATGCCTGTTCTTTCCTGGAGGGTCCTGTTGCGTTTTTGGGGTACCAGCTCTTCAGCTTTGCTCTCTGTCTCTGCTGCCTTCACCATCATCTGGTGGGACAAAGGCTGTAGGAGAAGGAAGGGGTCAGCAGGAGGGGTATTCTTTGATATTCCACTCCTTTAAACTATTTATTTATTAAATCAGAAGGGAGATGTGGTGACCTTCTGTCCCGCCATATGGGGGCAAGGCTACCCCTGGAGACTGTGGGCAATGTTGTCAGCAAGGGAGAAGGGCGATGCTCAGGGCTGTGTGAGCCAAAGCTGGATTTCAGTGACAGCACTGTGATGTCACTGTGGCCCTGGCTGAGATCATTTCCTGATCTGATTCCTGATCCTGATCTAGAACCAATCTTTCTTTATCAATTTCTCTGTGGTTCAAGGCAATGAGCAGACAGGCATGGTTGGATTTTCTTGGGGTTTGTTTGTTTCTTTGGAGTTTTCTTGTGGATGTTTTTGTTTGATTTTGTGTATTTAAGGTCATGATCATAAAATAATTTGCCTGGAGTTGAAGTTTCCTTCAGGAAATGCCTTTTGAGGATTAAAGGCTCTGTTTTCTGTTATGGGACATAGCAATGAAGCTGTTGGGTAGAAAGGCCATTGTTTCTCTAGAAGACAGAAGGATGTCTGCCCTGTTCCTGATGATACAGAACACATTTTCACGAGTGAAACTTATAAATTAGACTTTCCCAAAGATGTTCATGTTGTCTGAAGATCCAAGTTAAAGTTCAGCATATGAAAACTGGGGGTTTGATTCTTCCACTCTTTTCCATTTTGGATTCCATGATCTAAAGGTCTTTTCCAGCCTACCCCATTCTATGATTCTGTGATTCGGTGACATTTCTATCTTGAGCTGTCACAGTTGGTAAGAATGTGAGACAATTTGAAGTGAAAGACTGGAGGGCACAAGTCACTCGTTAGCACTCCGGGCAAGCAGAGGTGGCAATACCAGAATCATTAAAATAATGATTAAAAGAGATGGGCTCTGTGGATTCAGTGACTGCATTATGCCACTGGAGTAAAGAGCCTCATTTTCCCCTAATTCACACTTGGTTTAAACTAGGAACGACTCTTGTGCAGTCTGTGAAATGAATACTTGGCTCAGCCTGGCTGCGGTAAATTATCAGAAAACGCTGAACTAGGTGCCTTGGACATGATGAGAATTCCAAGTGGTCCATGCCTTTTTTACCCTGCAAATCACCATTTAAGTGTTCTGAATCATCCTGAACATTTTTTGATTTTTTTTTCAAGTCACACTGCATCAGATTACTCCTTGAGTCACTACAATAGCGTCTGATAGCTTCTAGCATGACATCCTGGAAATGCAAACGTGGATTTCTAACTCGGAGGTTTTGGGTCTGTGGCTGTTACAGGGAATATCTCAAAAGTACAACAGTAAATATTCTTTCCTTTCATCCTCTCGCAGCTCATAGGAGGGAAAAGGAAAAAATGTTAGTAAAATATACACTGTAGTCGAACAGCTGGATATTGGGAGCTCACTGGTGCAAGCAGTCACCTCAAATCGCGTGGGTGGGTTGGTTATTAGATGCCCACTAAAATATTCTGCTGCAATTATACTCTCTCATGATTCTGAGTGCAAGGCGATGTCCTGCAGGTGCCAGGCAGGAATGTTTCCTTCTCACAGAATCACAGGATCATTAAGGTTGGAAAAAGCTCTCCAAGATCACCAAGTCCAGCACCACCATGTCAGCTAAACCATATCACCAAGTGCCACATCTACCACGCTTTGGAACATTTCCAGGGATGCTGACTCCACCTGAGAAGCCTGTTTCTGGGATTAACCACTCTGTCAGCAAACACAATTTTCCTGCTGCCCATCCCAAACCTGCCCTGGTGCAATTGGAGGCTGTTCCATTGCAGGGTTTTGCTGGTGCAGCCACTGCTAACCCTTCCACCAAAGCTCCTCATGGCAGCCAAACTGGGTGCAGCACCTCGGTCCCCATTCCGTTCCCAGAATAATTGGTGTTCCCTTGTTTAACACCAAGGGAGAAGGTCAATTAACTATTTGCAAAGTGCTTTGAGAAAATAAGTTGGCCTTCAGCACATAGAGGCTGATTATTAGGGGCTGGTGATTAGCTGGGTTTGGGATTGTTTGCTCTGAAGCCTCTACACTAATTTTGCTCAAAGCCTTCTGTAAACAAGCTGTTTCTTGACATTTAGAAGCTTTTCCTACTTAGGACTGATTATAGGTTTGAAGCCTAACAGCTCTTAGGTACACTTTCTGTTTTAAATGATTACAACTTCCTACAGTCAAATATTAGCTTTTGCCAAAAGAAAGCCTTTTCCTTCTGAGAAATGTGGCCACAGCTGTCAATGTGGTTAAAAAAAAAGCAACAACCCAAAAGAGGTAGCTAGGAAAAAGAGAAGGTTTTTGTTAGAGATAATTTTTTAATCTAGACTGTTAACTTGAGGTGTTATTGATATAGCTGAGATAATTAAGCTTTATCCCTGCCAGGCAGGGCTGTTTGAAGAAGCATTAATACAGGTGCAATGACACATTCATTGGGAGGAATGGGCTGGCTGAGCCTCTCTCTTCAAGCCAGCAAAGTTACCTTGACTTTGGACCTTGACAGCTCTGAGAATGGAGCTGAGGAGAGGGCCCAGCCCTTTTTCCCAGGATCCATTCCCAGGTTTTTATTGAGAGGTGAATCGAGACCTCGTTAAGCATCTCATTTTGAACAGGGAGCGTGGGCAGGGCTACATTACCAGGAACTCAGGTAGTTTCCATGGATGTTAATGTTGAGCAGCAGCTGATGCTGCCTCTTGCAAATGAATCATTTGAGAAGCATCAGGAGGCAGTTTGGGACAAAAGTCTCATTGCTGGTCAGCAGGAATTTCAGTCAAAACATGTGAATTTCGTGGCACCCCTGGTGGACTGCAGCTCGTTGACCGATTACAAGTGATGCCTTTTCCTCCGCAGCGATCTGAAAAATAAATCCTCTGTCCTATCTTGCATCCCTTGACAAACCCTGGCATAACTAATAACTCTGTCATGGCTCTCAATGTTTCCATTTCTCTGGGTTAGCAGGCTGTTGAGATGATGTGCTCTGTTTGCTCACATCTAAGATTGCATGGCTCAGCTGTGCCAACCCTTGATTCATGATAAGGGATGAACCATCAGTCTTTGTCAGAGGCTGGAGTCTTGCTTGGGATTATGGATGGCTGCTTGAGGCACGTGTGGGTCTTTACAACTGGGCCTAAATCTTGAAGGAGGCAGAAGTTTCTTACATTTAAGGAATGTTAATTCCTGCTCCTCTCTGCTTGGGGTACTGGCAGCATCAGCTCCCAGCACAGAGGTCCAGGAGAGCTCAGCAGCTCAGGATGTGGTGCTTTTATTAAATTAAAACAAAGCCCCCAGCAGGTGGTCTGTAATGAAAAACTACCTCCAGTGCTGGTGGCTGATCTCATTAGGGACACCCAGGGAATCCACTCTGAGTGTCCCCTCCCCAGCCACCTCTCGGGCTGACTCGGTGGCCGGGGAGGATCTGCAGCCCTGCCTCTGCTAAAATGAACTTTGGCCAGTTTCAAAGAAGCACTCTGTCACAAATCATCAGAAATCCACACTGGAACACTGGGGAGAGTGTTATATGCAAGGATGAAAAGCTGAATTATCCTGCTGTAAAGTGAAATGGGGTTAAAAAAAAGCAGTAACAATGGAACAGGGGATGTTTGCCTGGATTGTGTGTGTGTCAAGGAAAGGCAAGTTTAACCTTGCTGTTTAACTGCTGTAATGCAGGGTCACTTCCCGTTAGCAAAACCCCCTGAAGGGAGAGAGGGGGAAATGTAAAAAGATACTTTACAGTAAAACAATATACTTATTTTACTCCAAGATCAAGGATTCTTTCTTTCTTTTTTTTTTTTTTTAAAGGACCTTTTGAAAACTTACCCTTGGTTTTACAGAATATTTTTAACTCCTCCAATATTGTATGGTTTTCACTCAGTCATAATTTAAAAATTGAGCTGTTGTCATCTTTCTTGCACAGGGTAAAAATGACTCTTCTCCAGATGTAATTATGACTTTGTTCCTTAAACTTGCTCCTATGAGCAGCTGAACTTTTACAACTACAATCTCTACTGGCTGAATTTTTAATGGAGCCATTCTGCTTGCTGTTTCTTTGAGTTTTGCTCTCCCATATCTCCCAAAGCATTACACTTGCATGTCTTTGTTCATTAGTTTTAAAGCTTTTCCTCAGCTGGGATAATAGAAAAAACATCTATTTCTGGTCATCCAGTTGCAATTCTGGCTATTCTCAGTGGGGCATATATATTTCAGGTTGGGTTGGTGGGGATTTAGATATACAATTCCAGATAGTCTTAATGAGAGTAACAGCCCTAATTCCCCACACAGAATATTAAAAACGGGTCCAGGGTGTACAGAGTGAAATGCTGTGATCTTACCTTTAAGTACCTTTGCCTTGTTCTCCTTTTTTTTTTTTTTTATTCCTAAATATCATTTGCATCTGCGTTTGTTAAAGTAACTGAGAGCTGCTTTGAGGAGGAGGGAGCTGATTTTTGGAGCCCCTGTCTGGTTTGCTTTGCTCTGTTTTCCCGAGGATTGGCTGCACCTGGGTGCACCTTTGAAAGGGAAAGGTTAATTCAAGAGGGAGCTGGAAGAAAGACTTTAGCAAATTGACTCTGTTCTTATTCTGATTGCTTTCAGTGTTAGACAAGAAAAAGACACACCTTTTTTATTGCCTTAATTAACTACCACCAAAAAACCCAAAAAAAACAAACCCTACCATACTGTGAATCTAATAAGGATTAAGATTTAGTTAGAATATTAGAACCAGATCCACAAAGACATTTTTCATGCAGGAAGGACGTGTTGCTTTTATTCTTGAATTTCATCAGGAATCGTGGGGATTTTTGAATTCTTTCTCAAGGCAACCTTTTATCATAAAATATTAACAAGCACCCATCCCCTTTTTCTAATTTCAGGCCTCAAACAAAAAAAATAGTTTTGTTCATTAATTTCTTTTCCTTTTCTCCTAATCCACATCTTCACAGGGATCCCCCAGGCCTTGTTGGGAGGTTTCCACTGGTGGTATTTCTTTTCACAGGGAAGTGGTGCTAGAAGGGAAGGTTTTCTCCATTTGCACAACACGGAAGAAATTTCCTGGAGTTTAATTGTCCATTCTTGAAGGTTGCTGTACTTACACTTGGAAGCCAATATCCATGGAGAGCTAGTCTGGTAGTTAGGAGTAAATGGAGTGTGAATACTCCAGGCAGCTCTTCTT